TATATATATATATATATATATATATATATATATATATATGATTTTATTGTACCTGGATTCAGATTTTACCGCTTCACTTCCAATGCCATAGCATACAACTTTTTGGATCATGGTTCCTATTTCCTCTTTAATTGCATTTCTGAGTACATAGTTCCTAAAATTAAATGCCCTGCTTCAGTTCTGTTGTTTTAGTAGGCTTTGTTCCAGTTACTTATTTACTTCTGTCACGATAACTCCCTCCAAAGCCAGCTTTTTATCACTTGTCCCCACAGTTGTTCCTCACTTTTGTCCACTTTACGGCTTAGGTTTTTGCTTCATCTACTACCTCAATGGCTATACTTTCTCTTTAGCTGCTATTTCCAATTAGTCACCTCTTGAAAAACACTTTTTCTTTATTTGCTATTGCTTTTCCTGTGCTCGCCACTCCATCTTCTTGCTTCTATCCTCTAGCCCTCTATTTTATCATTCACATTATACCATAATTAACTTTCCAAGTACAAAGATACTCTGTTTTTTAAAATGCTCCCAACAATAAAAATGTCCCCTGTGTGCCTATAGAAGCAAGTTTAGGCTTCTTAATTGACAAAGTCTTTGCTGTCAATGGGTGGCCCAACTCACTTTTCCAGCATTGCTGTGCGCATGGGTTCCGAGCATGCACAGCTCCAACCACAGTGAGATGTTGGATGCTTGGACATACGTGCCTGCTCAGGACTAACCTAAAGCAATGTAATTATGTGGAATTCTCAAGTTCTTTGGCTAAATTAAGTAACCATAATAGGGTTACGAGAAGGTTAGCTGCTCTCCACCACATTAATTTCATAATAAAATGAAAGAAAGCTTGGACAAATTCTGCCTGTGTAATTTATCCTTGTAAACTAGAAGTTGCAAATCAATTGTGGTATGTGTGTGCCTATGGATATGTATGTGTGTATACATGCTTGCTACAAAAAAATCTTCATTAAGAAATTTCCTCTGAGACTAAGGGTATTCCACTGGTAGGATTGGAATACCCGTGTAATGGCATCCTAAATTATGCTTCATCAGGACA